TTTTTTTTTTTTTTTTTTTTTTTTTTTTTTTTTTAATAACCTAATAAAAGCTGAATGGATTTATTAGAAAGAGCAATGAGCAAAGTAGTTAGTGGGTAGGGGAGTGGGAGAAGGGAGGGCGGGGTAAGGTTACTCGTTGCTGATTGTGGTAACTGTGGTTGTTGTCGGTCGATAACGACGGTGATGATGATGATGATGCTGATGACGATGACCCTAAAATTAGCTATACCAATCAGCAAACAACAGCGAAAATTGACGAGGAGGAAGACGAGAGGGGATTATAATGCAAATTTGATTGTTGTTCCATCGCTGCAACTGAAAACACTGTTTTTATTTCTCTTTTTTTTATTCTGGAACTAATAATTTGCATAAACTATAGTTCACCAGAACTTTTATTCCTTATTAACATATCGTCAGAAAATTTCGGGAATCTATGGTCAGCTCTAGAATCAGCAAGAATGTCATGCCAATAATACAACAGATTAAAACATGTTCAGAAATAGGTTCAATAGCAAATCTCTTCTGTTTGTTTCATCACTGATACAGATGGCAATGCAAAGGAAAAATTCATTCAATAAAGTGCTCAAATACACTCCTTTTTACTGGTATATACACTACAATTTTGTGGTTTTTCAATTATCATAAGTGTCTAATAGTTAAAAAGAAAAAGTATAGATTTTTATCGGAAATTTTGGATTAAATCTTCTGTGTTACTCAAGCTTTTTCTTTTGGTTTATTTCTTCTTGCTTTACTCTTGTTGAATTGATTCTGTTCACTAAGAAGCTATGTATTAATCCAAAACGGTAGCAACAGCAAAAAAAATTGTTAGAAATATGCGAGAACACGATTGTCAATATTAAAGAAATGTCTTATCATCATCATCATCATCATAGTTGTTACAGCTGACATATATTTCATGTTTTCCGCTTCAGAAATATTCCTCTGTCATTACATTAAACATTGCTGATTGTATAAGAGGGAAGGAAATTGCCGTCATCAGAACAACTTTGGCAAACTGCATCAAAAAGCTAAAGAGGACGATAAATTTAGTTAGCAGAAGGTAGAAAAAACTTCTCTTTTTTTATTGCTAATTTTTATCGTGCGGTAGCGGAAAACAGGAAAACGATATTTGAGCCAAAAAACACTGAGGACAAATAAGAAGTAGATGGAAAGGAAAAAAAAAAGCAGATGATCTGTTTTGAT